GTTGGACATGCAAGTTAAAAAGGCACATTTCACAAATGTTGTCATCAGGAGTTCCGAGAAAATATATAATGTATAATTTAAATAAAACTATAATTTTAATGCCAATTTCAAAATTGAAAAAACGCATTTGCAATCATTTTGAAAAAAAAACGACCAGATTTGAGATTTTAGAAAATGAAGTAAAATTGATAACTTTATGTATCAACAAATTTCTAATTTTAATAATTTCTTTTTCAGGTCTTTGTTTAAATCATTGTATGCTTCAGCAGATTTATAAAAATGTTATTCCATATGGTGGCCAGTCGGCAGGAACATTTACACCCCGTGATATAGATAGACACAAATTTAACTCACTAGACTCCCTAATGGAAGAGTGTGGAAATATCTGCTGCCAAGATGATGCCTGTGATGTGGTCTATGTTTATAACATGAAGTGTTATACGTTAGATTGTGTTAATGCAGATATGTGTGAACCAATTGAATCTTTGGAGGGTAAAGAAACATACATGGCATTCATAGCGAGAGCCATGTCATCACATTTAGATGGTAAGCTGCTTTAACTTCATATTTTAAAATTTTTTTAATATGTCAGAGATTGAATTAATTCTATATGCTTCATTTTGGATTCACCAATATCAGAAAGGGATTTTCATTTCAGGACAAGAAAGGGTTGGTGATATTCATCATCATCATCCAGTGTCTTCTTCGATTCAAAGGTTGACAACAAGACTGTGCCACAAACTTCTGTTCTCAGCTTTTCTCTTAACACTCCCAAGGTTTCCCGTGTTTGTCCATGTTGTGATGTCCTTTCCCTAAGTTCTTCTTGGTCGTCCTCTGCCACGAGATCCCTCTATAGTACCTTCAATTACGAGACTAGCAAGATCCTCTAAGAACATGTCCTACAAACCTAGCTTTCCTTTGACACAGCCTTGTTGCCAATTTCAGTTGATATCCCATACGTTCTTCAACCTTTTCATTTGTTAAATGACCTTTCTAGCTTGCGCTCAAAATTCTCGTGTAGCACCAGTTTCCAAAAGCCGTCACACAGATTAAATTGTCAATTCCTCAATCTTTTGGTTTTCATTGTAATCCCATTGCTTGGTTCAAAATGACAGAAGTGTACCACTACTTACATGCATGGGTGAAACCGTAAAGTGAAAATTAAAAACGCCTGTCTATTAGACAGACTGGATTACAAAAGTCCATTTTCCAATCATTGATGTGCCAACTCTAGCAAAATAAATTATGACGCTATTTGAAATGTGTACCTGTGAAAACTTTAGTATAGTTAGTAAAAACATGGTATCTTTAGTTATCTATGTACATCGAGACATTTTCTATTTTTACCTGTTTCTGCTATATTCTGTCTGACTGAGACAGGAAGACAGGTCTTTAGTTTCGACCCAAGTACATCATACAAAGATTTTACTTTATGGGACAATGTACGATTGCACTAAAATAAAGTATATATGCTTCACACATGCATGTATCAGACATGTCATATGATTGAGAAGGTCTTGAGCATGCCACCAGTTGGGCTTCATAAAACTGGGGCAGTCTCAATCTAATCTAATGTAAGAAGAGGCTCTGTTTTCTACTAATCTGGTTGCCCAGAGTATACTATCTCTAACTACATGTACATGTATATGTACACCTGACTATCCAAATTCTTCTCTCTGATGGGATAGTTCAACCAATCGGGGCATTCATTACTAGAAAGTAGCATGTACTTGTACTAAATACAAGTACTGATTAGTTACTGATCCAACAAGAACTGAATTTGATTTGTATAGACATTAGATCAGGTGTACATGTAGTCAGCGGCGATAACACCAGAACAAAAAGTAAACAGATTGGAGCAGACTCTGTCATGCTTGTAAATATGGTACATGTTGTTGCTACAAAAGTATTCTTGTGTATTATTTTCCAAGATGTCACTGTATGAA